AACTCAAGTAAATATAAAGATCAGGAAAATAAAACAAAATTACCCCGAAACAAATTAGTTGATAAGCACAACAAAAATCAGTAACACGGAATGGGTGGAATATTTTAGTAAGCTATTTCACAATAACGAGGCTCCAGTATTGGATATAGCCGACACACTAACACAAGACTATGAGATCTCAGAAGAACAGATTATACAAACGATACCCAAAATAAAAAATAGGACATCACCCGCAGAGGATGGCATATATAACGAACTATTAAAATACGGGGGGCAATCATTACATAAAGAATTAGTAAAACTGATACAAAAGTATATAGGTAGAGTAAAATACGAGAGGAATGAAAAACAGTATTCTAATCCCCCTTTTTAAAATAGGGGACAAACTAGACCCAAACAATTATAGATGAGTTAACCTTCTGAACACAACGCTTAAACTAACAACAAAAATTATCACACAAGTAATAGAAAACGTAATAGAAAGAAGAACAGCAAGGATTCAGAAGAGGAAGATCATGTAATTATGCGATTTTCATTATACGACAAATTGTTTAGAAATCTTTAGAATTCGACAAACCTGGATATATGTTTCGTAGACATTCAGAAAGCATTTGACAGCGTACGCCTTAAAGATAGAGCAAGATTATTTAAGAAAGAAAATATCCCCTACAACCTTATTAAACTCATAGCATATATATATATATATATATATATATATATATATATATATATGAACACCAGAATGAACAAGTAAAACATAATCAACAAATATCCCAAGCCATATCAACAGGTCAAGGAATAAGACAAGGGGACTCCCTCAGCCCAATACTCTTCAACCTGGTAATGAAACACATCCTAAACAATCTTTCGAACAAAACAGGATATTACTTCGGCTCTTATAACAAACTCAATCTGTTATGCAGACGGTACCGTCTTAATGGCCGAAAGCGAAGATGATTTACAACGTCTCCTGTTTTAATTCTACAAGATATGCCAGTCATTCAACATGAGGATATCCACACAAAAAACTAAATGCATAACAACCTCGAAAGAGCCATTGAGACGCAAACTATCTATAAACAAATACCTAATAGAGCAAGTGATGGAAATACAATATCTAGGCATAACAATAACTAGTGATGGTAGATCCATAAAAGAGGCTAAGGAATAAAGCATAAAAGCAAATAGAATAGCAGACTGTCTCAACCACTCGATATGGCAAAATCAATATCTAAGAAAATACACTAAAATTAGAATATATAAGGAAGTAATTAGACCAGTATTGTCAAATGCAGCTGAAACGAGAGCAGACTAAAAAAAATATGCCAAATGATGGAAGTGTCTGAAATGCGGGAGCTGAGAAAAATTACAAATAAAACGCTAAGGGATAAAGAACCTAATATTAATATAAGACAAACTTGCCAAATAGATATAATCTCAGACTGGGTTCGAGAAAGAAGAAAGAAATGGAATGACCATATAGACAGAATGGAAGAAGACAGACTGGTGAAAGTGACTAGCGATAGAAGACCGGAAGGAAGGAGAAGAGTAGGACGTCCAAAAACTAGGTGGAAAGACATTTTGTGAAACAAGACAGCATGAATATAGTGCCAATTTATAAATATGACTACATAAATGTAATGTATCAGGTTTTTTAAAACTTTAATTAAGTATCCTTCCTTATTAATATAATAAATGCTTTGAGAATTATTGAAACGTGGTCTTTATTATAGCAATCAACGAAACGAGTGGGTAAAGAGGAGTATAATTGCAAGAGTGTAATGTTCAAGAAAACAAGTGACGGTAGGAGCGAGTTCTTTTATTTAGTACCACGAGTGTTGCGGTAGAAATGTTACTTTCAATATTTTTTCATTTCCTTTTATGAATTTTTTTTTAATTTGGAGGAACTGAAATACATCTTTACCATTGGAGGCACATATTTTATGATGTCATATTGTTTATGAAAAATATCTATTTTCTTGGGCGTTGCATTGTGTTTATTTGTAAGAAATATTTGCATATTGTGGATAAAATATTAAAAGAAGCTGACGAAGTCATGAAAACATTACTTCCCCCCGAAAACTAAACGCAGGTATGAGGTAGAATACATGTATAATTTACTTTTATTCATTCGTTTTTATATGTAGTTGTAGGTACGTAATGTGTGATGTACATTTTTGTTCACGTCTAATGGTCGACTGGAAATACCTTGGCTATGTCTATGTTATAGTTTCTGAATTAAATGATTTGAATCATTTCCTGAATTCTGATTGGTAGTTGTGGAGTTTTAATTGCAAGTTGGAATTTTAATTACACGCATGCTATTAACATAGAGATAATCAACGATTTTTCATGAAATTAATGAGCATATTTAGTTAACTAAGCGAAAAAATAAAGAATAGAAAAAAGGGCGGCACGGAGTATAAGACCCACGGGCGCCCCATGTGTAAATCCGTACTAACTTATGTTCTGCACAAATGGATCTTTGGCATTTTGAACAACAACCTACACCTTTCCGACCCTTCTCTCTTGGGCATATGAAACATCGTTTCCTTTCCCTTGAAATATAACTTGATTCTGTAGGCGTTGGCTGGGGTGTTTGTGTTTTGTAATGCTTCATAACCCGTTTCATCATCAAAACTAAATATTGTGGAAGGAACTGCTTTTGAACTTTTCTTTTCATGTCTTCTTTGGCCTGAAAATATGCTAGGGATTTCAAAAATGTGTTGTATTATCTTAATTGCTTCGGTAAAGTAGTTTCTGCCTGCTGCGTGGAGCACACCAAAAAGTAGCGCAGTAGCCACCGTTTTGTTTTTCTTGCTGTGGTTTTTAGTTAGCATAGTAAATCAGACACATCCTCTCCACTTTAGGTTTCATTGAAAAATAGTACAGGGTTTAATTTACTAGTGGTTTTGTCGATTTCACTTTTATCGAGAAATGAAGAGAGCAGAAGAACATTTCTATTTTTTCTTGGTACATAGGAAACAAGCATTTTCTCTTTCCTACACAGAAATTCTGTGGGTGGTGCTGGTCGCTTTTTAGTTCGTTTAAAATTTGAAGGTATATCGGGTTATTTTTCCTTAAGGTACTAACCATTGAGTTGCTGGCTAGTTCAAACGAGGTAAACCAGTTGGCTAGTCACGTTTCGATTTGTACCATGGTAACAGGTTCTGTCAATTTCAGTGCATAATACATAGTAAGGGAAGCATTTCGCGCAAAGGACTCTTGCCTATATAAGGTATACCTCCATAAAAACAAACAGCCATTACATATCCTTAGAATTTTCAATCCATTCTTGTCTGGTTTATTCTGTAAATATATTTTGAAAGTACATTTGCCTCTGAAACTTCAGAGTCTCATCAAGAGTTAGGTATTCCAATGGGATGAATAGAGATCTGCAACGACCTGTAAACATATTCCAGATGTTTTGTAAAAGGAGCAAATTTGTCTGTCTTCTGCCTTTCGAGGCGAGTGGCTTTATAATCGACTATTAGATTATTTATTATAAAATTAAAACAATTTCTATTCAGTACTGACCAAAACAGCTCCAAATACAATGAACCACATATCAACTGTACGTATTTTGGCATCTATGAGGGCTCCAGCCATCAATATGATGCCAAGTAGTGGATTTATTTCGACAAAAACGGTTGCCCTGACTTGTAACTAGCCTTTTTGTTCGCAGTTTGCTGATTAGTATATCCAACAATGGCCTGAAGAATATTGTACGGTGGCCTCCATTATGAGCATACTGAATAATTCAATGTGAGATATTTTATTTCGGACCTCCATTGTTGGTCTTGGCAATTTCAGAACAATGTTTTTGACATAAGGTTTTGAGGTCGGTTTTTTGAATGACTTATCATACTCTCGATAACCTCTTTTCATAAATAAACCTTTCCTACCGCATATTCTTCATCTTTCACTATCTCTTCATCATCATCATTTTCTTCGGCAATAAATTAATCTTTCTCTCGATTATCAGGGACAATATCGTATTCACTCACCACTTCATTTTCATCATCTTCTGAGTCTGTACCTTCCGTCAAATTCCATATTCCGAAAAAATTGATTCTTTGACATTCTAACAACAAATATTTGAAAACTATTAGCAAAAGCATACAAACGTGTTAGAAAAATCTATGCCGTTAAGTCAAATATAACCCCAATTATGTTTTATTTGATATTTCCTGATAGGAACAACGTAAGGAGAAAGGAACGGCGCGCTATTCAAGGCTACCAATATTTAAACGTGATAATTTCACTCTGTGTCGCAGGTGCCCCCACCCTTGTGATTCCATTTAAATTTAGATTTATTAAATTGTTTAAAAAATTTAAAAAATGAAATAAAAAAACAGTAAAAACTGTATGTGACGTATGCGGGAGAAGATCATTCCAGGGACAAATACATATTGCCTCTGCCTGACAAAAGGAATACATGGGACCATCTCAGCCAGTTCTTCTTACTTCCTTTATGATCTCAGCATTACTCTTGGATCAAGAAATTGAACGTGAACCCGATCGAGACGTGGTCATTAACACGAAAAGTGTTAACAATAATATTGTGATAGATATAAGTAAAAATATTTTATGAAATAGTGCAATTAACATTGCTAAGTTACTATGTTCTATTGTTCCATTTTGAAAATTAAATTCCGTACAGGCGTTTTAACTAAAATTTACTATTGTCATCTTTCTGAGTCAATATTATGGTAGAAAAAGTGTTGCAGCAGAAAATATTTTTACTTGTTTTCTGAAATAATATAACGTATTTGCATTTTTAATATAGATTTGGAAAGCATTGTCACAGTCTAGTGCCATTGTTAAGGCTAGTACAAAAGATGAATATGAAATGATACAGTTCATTTTAGCATTACTTCCCGTTGCTAACGTCACCAAAGAATTGACACGATGTTATTACAATTTTAAATTTTGTTAATATCATTTTGTCAAAATGTCTGTTACTTAATCAACATTACCAAGTCAAATGAAATTAAATGAAACGGCACAAGTTTTACAAGCGACTGTTGCTTACCCTGGAATGTGAACACGTGAATAACGCGATAGGAAACGTCACTGCGTGCTGCGTTGTTTGATGGCCTTGGTGTGAGGCAGGCTGCATCGGGCTGCATGGATGTGTGTTGCCTGATTGTTTAAAATGGGGTCATACTCCTAAGTTGTAGTTATCTTTCGTGTGTTTTGGATAAAACCGACTTGGATGGAACTTCTTGCTTTAGTGTGTGTTATCGCATTATATATCTGATATGTAGATTGTTTTGAGGTTATATTTTGAAACTTAGCGCTTATTTTATCAATTAACTAATTACAAAAATAATGGCTGATAGTAGGTGTAGATACAGTTATGATGCGCGAGAATCGTTTGCGCAAAATGAGATTGATGTTACCTGGTTTAGTCAACTGAAGCACATCTGGGGTCTTTGGAAAAAGAGTGAACGCGTGTCGCGAACGCTTCACGAGTACTTTCAAACAACTTCGAATCCTTATGTATCCGCTTTGGTCATAACTCAAATGTGTGACGATTTCAAACAGGCAAAACCTAACTCTTTGTGCTATACAGTAATGGAAGAATTTACAAAGTGGGTACGTGATAAAGAAGATTCATTCGCCCATTTGTTAGTGAGTGATGTCAAACTTCATGCTTTCTACGTGATTACAAGGCAGCATAATATGTCACTTGTCAAAATGGTTTGTTCAGTGTACAAAATGTTGGAAGAAAATAACATATTTATTGCTCCTATTAATCAGTTCCTTAGAAACAAGCAGTATAAAGAAGCATGTCAAGTTGCAGCATTTTTGAAATTGCATGATCATTTCAGTATTGAGGATTTTCTAATTCCACTTGTAATTCAGGACAAAATGAATGTAGCTGAAGAATTTTTACATGGAAGTTTTGTCCATCAGAAGCAATTAGTATTGTTTCTTGATAACTTACTAGCACAGCGAAATATTGGTAATGAAGTGGAGATGCTCATAAGTAAATATGATATTCCTGATGCCAAAAAGAGCAAAATGTTGTATAAGCCCCTTGGAAAGCTTGTTGCTCGACTCATGAAAATTTACAATCTGCCTCGTGATTTGGCACCAAATTTAAATCGCAAACGAAATGAAGGTGCTTTGCAGTTTCTCGTATACAAGAGATATGTTCAGCATACTCTTGGAAGAGATAGTTTTCGTGAAATGGTGTATGAAGCTACTACAGCCAATCCTAATTTACAGCGTGAAGTTGTTATACAAGTTAATTTAGCTGGTGATGTTCAAGAGGCTGTGTTTTGGGCACGGGAATTTGGAATTCCTAGAGCTGAATGTCCAACTAGGATACAAGAACTGCTCGATTCTGGACCTTCATTTCCTATAGAAGAGGAAGAAAATTGGGATGACAATCCAGGCATCAATTTTCACACACTATCACTGTCGGATAGTCAGATTGTTCTTGTTGACACTCCTGTCAAATTTAGAGAATTTCTCTTTGAAGTGTCAAGTGCTGAAATTGTGGGTATTGATTCAGAGTGGAAACCACAATTTGGTACTATGAAAAATGGTTTGGCCTTAGTTCAAGTTGCAACTCATAACAGAGTTTATATTCTTGACATAATTCTGACTGGTTCTCATCAAGATTGTTCTTGGGAAGAAGCCGGAGCTAAACTCTTTGGTAATGAAAAAATTATCAAGTTAGGATTTGGTGTTTCATCTGATCTGAATATGATGCTTCAGTGTTTACCAAATTTAGAAAGAACTGTACAAAATAAAAATGGGTACTTAGATCTTACATCCCTCTGGAAGAGATTGACCAAAGAATTTAATTTTAAGTTTCCTTATACAGCTCAAGAAGGAGGTGAAAGCTTGACCTACTTAGTTGAGTTGTGCCTTGGAAAATGTTTGGATAAGTCTGATCAGTTTTCAAACTGGGAACGACGACCTTTAAGAGAAAGTCAAATTCGTTACGCAGCTTTAGATGCTTATTGCCTTATTGAAGTGTTTGATGTTCTTAAAGAAAATGCAGAAAGGCAAGAAATTCCATTTAGAGATATTTGTTTAGAGCTTATGGCAAAAACAAATAATGAAGTAAAAAAAACTCACAAGTCTCGTAGAAGTCGTAGGGTAGATGGACCTCCTTTGGAAGTTGTGTGCCCATTTGAAGGTCCTATTTCTGTATCTGAACTTAAGATGCTTTGTGACAAAGGTTTGGAAGGTCTTGGCCAGCAGTTACGTAAAGTGGGCATTGACACTCTTACTTTGAATGCAGTTGACAGTCCAGAGCGGTGCATACAGATTGCGAAGCAAGATTCACGTATTGTTGTTGTACGTGGGCGTTCAACGTATGCAAAAATTAGTCAGTAAGTGTGATTGCAGCAATAATTCTAATTCTAGTTGTAATTACAGTTGGAAGAATTTAATTAATTAATCCACATTGAATTATAAAATAAAATGAAAATAAGTCTCTGTAATACTATATTATATTGTGATTGCATGCTCTAATGATAATTTCAGCTTAAGCAATATTTAAACCAGTAGGTGGTTTGTGCCGTAAACTTTTATTTAAGTAAAAGAACACCATAAAAATGGATGTTTGATACGCACAGGGATGATGGCATTAACCCCACCCCACCCCCACCTCCACCCCAAAAAAGAGGTTTTCCTGTATAAGGGTGATGGAATGGTGTAGTTTTGTCCAAAGTCTCTGCAGACAATATTCTATTTTATTAACAACTTTCCTGTGTGCGCTACAAAAAGATTAAGTGTGTTGATGTAAGTAACCGGCTGATATGTGATATTTTTATGTTTACAGGTATGTACCCCGTGGTTTCTGTTATCCAGTAGCCACTGAAACGGTCCATGAACAACTTCGAGAGATATTGCAACATTTCAATATACGTGTACGTCAGGAAGATATTTTCAGCCGTTGCAAATTGTGCAATGGTGCATCTTTTGTTAAAGTTTCCCAGTCTACTATGAAGATTCTAAAGTCTTGTGTCAAAGTTACGATTACTTCTCCTCCAGTAGACAATGATGACCACAATGACTACACAGGATTTTCTAGTGAAAGTGATGGCTATTCAGATGATGGTCTGTCTCCACCAATTAAAAGCAATTCACAAGTTCAAAAGTTTGTTGAAAATGTTGACATTAATCTCTGTAGAACAAGGAAAGGTGTGCCCATTCAAGTGAATGTTTTGCCTCCTGAATGTATAAATTCTATCTCTGAGTTCAATATTTGTGAAGTTTGCGGAAGAATTTACTGGGATGGATCTCATTTTGAACGGTTCATAAATGGAAAAATGAAAGATATCATTTGTGAATAGCTTGAAAAGTCTGTAACATAAGTTATTGTATGTGCAGTTAGAAGTGTACCTGTTGTGTACACAAATGACAGAGGATAAAGTGCTTCCGTAAGATATTAATTTTCATAAGTATATTTATGAGACATTGAATTATGTAATATATTTTGTTTAACTTACTGACAAATCTTCACTCAGAAAGTTTTCTTTGTAATGCTTTTAATAGCTTGATGCATGTCTCGAGAAAATAAAAAGTTATAATCTGTGTTTTTATTTTATTATTATTTTCTTTTTTGTCCCACCCTTCTTAAATGTTATCAAAACATACTACATGTGAACAGTGTAAAAAATGTAATATTTAATTATTCTTGTGGGATTTTCCTTACTACTTAATGAAAGGATAAAAAAAGAAATACAATTACTTTGTTAGGCTATTTTGTAAATGTATTTTGGACTTGCAGTACTTCTATATGTAACATTAGGGATGGGTTGATAATTTGAGGTATGGATGTAAGAGTTAAAATACATGCCACCATGTCATTTTTTGTCTCCAGATTGAAGATTTCATTTTAGAAATTTTATTACCACAATTTTTTTTAATTTTTCAATTAAAGGTTTCATTTATACATTTTCAAATTGCAGCATTTTGAAATCAGCCTGAAAAATTTGATGATATTAGCACTATTAATTACTCATCAGTAATTTGCAATAAAATAACTAATAAAACCTTTTGAACTATTTTGTATGTCTTTGGTGCTCTGCCAAAAAATACATTTTCATTTAATGGAATACACAACATATACAGACCTGTAAAGTGTCTTTTTCTTTTTTGCTCTTTAAAATTAATTTTTGTAGCTCACTCAATGCTTCAGAAATTATATTCCATCAGCCTTCTTGGTTTGTTCATGCAAATTGTGAATATCATCATTTTGTGGATATTTGTTAATTATGGTATGTACTGCAAATGTGATAAAACAAAATAACAAATTTTATAAAATATTTTGATATACCAATAAGATCAATTATCCGTTTACAAAAAAAAATTCCCTTTCTATCCATTATTTCTTATTTTCAATACTAGAACCAGGTAAAATTCAAAAGTATTTAATGTTCTAGATTGGAAATGCCTACGCCATAAGTACCTGCAGGGAATTAAAATGTAATACTAAGGTACGAAGTTTGTAAGCATCATTAAATTATTGAAAGAAAAAAAACTTTTGGCATGTTGCATATTAACACAGAAGTTTATAGCCCTATTACAAACAACTGCAAAATTGTTGATAGTTCTATTCTCTATTATGCTCTATTGATAATTTGCACTCGTACATAAATTTAGATTCTGCTCATTGTAGGTAGTTTGTATAGATTTTTGAACATGACTACGAGTGCTCAAGTAAGTTCATTCTTTTCTACATTTCTTGACCCAATTTCAAAATTAATAAAAATACTACATTCAAGAAAATGTATTTTTGTATTATTTAAACATGAAACTAAAGAGAATAAAACTGTTAATTCTTAATTATTATATTCTGAAGTAGTTTTTACATTCAAACTTAGGGTCTCACCTACAGGTGTGCCAGATCAGAGACTGGACCGTCCCACCCAGCAATTGACTGACCCAATAAAAATCCAAAATTTTTGATATTGTACCTACACAAATTTGAAATAAATTCTGAATATAGAATATTGTATGGGCTTTAGTGAACAGATGGGTTTACAAAAAGTTGGTAGGTTATCTGAGGAGAGGTTTCGAAACAATATGTTTGCCAACCTGTAATGTACTTTCTCATTGTGCTTACAATACTCATAAAATCTGTGAACAGTTTAAAGACCCGGCTACTGGAGTGAATGATTTTCAGAGAGTGCTTTTCCAGGGTACAAATGAAATATTTCAGATTCAAGTTAATTGCTATAATTTGTTTCAGGAAACTTTAAATGGTTTCAAAACCAATTCATTTGTGGAGTTGAATATTTATCATTTGAGTTTTCAATATCATTTGGACAACTAGATACGTAATTATTTGCAGTATATAATTCAATAAAGAATGTAACTCTTAATCAGAAACTTGAATGTTGGTACAATCAATAATATTTTGTAGGACAAAAAAAAAAAATAATAGATGATTGTCTCTTACACTTACTTGATGGAGACAGGAGATGATTGTCACTTATCTTTACTGGTAATTCTGTTCTGCCAATAATTTTCAAACTCATTAAATTCTAAATTCTTGACTAAACAACATTAACATTCTTCCAAGGGGTCGTCCATAAATTACGTAACACTAAAGACGGGGGGGGGTTGAGGCTGCGTTACGCTGTGTTACATGGGGGGCAGGGGGTATTCAATTAGTGTTACATAACATTGATTTTTTAAAGTATTTTTAAACATTTGTTGAAAAACTTCCTTTTTTGTCTTATACTAAAACATTAAAATATTATCTATATAATTTGTCTCAAAACATAAATAATTTAAAGTTATTAGAAGTTGTTACAATTAATGGAAAAATGTTTTCTTCAATTTTGTGTTGAATTTGTAAGATTATGAAAAAAATATTCAAAACTTATCTGTAGTATTTTATAGAATACAATTAAATTGGCGCCATAAACTCTTGCCCATGTCCCATCCAAAACAAAGGTGTGTGCATGGCTTGTGATCACAAATTTTCTCACCTATATGTCCTTCCTTCACTCAAAATGTGCCCCCAATCTTGTTGTTAGGTGGAGGCAGCATTAGCAACTAATTGTGACTAATTATCATAAATTTTAATACATACAAATAAAATGTATACAATGTTTGTATTGAGCTATATGTATCTAATTATATGAATTTTACGTATTGCATTGTTATTCTTGCATACAGTGAAAACAATTGAGCCTCCATCAAACAGTTTACCAAAGTGTTTTTCTAGATTAACCATAACCTACAATAAAAACAATTAATATACTGGAAATTTGTAAGAATTGCTGGAAGATACATCGGAGGAAGGAGCATTCATCACACATACTGTTGTTATCATCATTTGTCCATGACATGCTGTTTAAGTGGAAACTCTGTGGACATATGATGTTCTTCCCTGTTTTTCTTCACTCGTATTCTTTGGGACTAAACTTTTTAGACTGAGTCAACATTACTCTCTTATGCTTAAAAATTTGCGCTACAAGATGGCAGCACTAACTAGTTATCTCAATTTTGGACTAATGCTGTTTTTCCAAGAAACCCTTCAATTGTGTACACTGCATGTAAGAAATAAGTGAATTTGAAAAAACAAAATGTTAATTAATTATGTACAATGTGTCAGAGTTTATAATATTAAAGAATTTTGAGGGCCAGCGAGGGCAGTCAACATCAGCATGATAGATGCACCTTGAAGGTCTTGATTTGAAAGGCCATGGGTGCAAATCCCTCACAAGTATGGATACTTGCTGGTGTACTGTGGCAAGGAGGGTTTCTCCTAACCACCACCCATCGCCCAGGGGATCCCAGAGAAAACAAGAGGCCTGTGGCAGTAGATCTACAAGTCCCTTGTTTCAAACAAATTTTTTTTTCTCCCTCCCTTATGTTACATTATTTATCTTTTCATGCAACAGAAATAACTTACAGCAGTTAATTTGGAATTAGAAGTGAAGAAATTGTTTAAAATATTTAGGGTGGAAAAAAAAAAATTTATGGCCTGGCAATGAAGTCAGGGTTGGAGGAAGGGGCACTTGCTGCGCAGCTGCTCCCCCGCCCGCCGCGCCGACGCCCCCCGCCCCGCCCCGCGCACAACAGCAGCTTCTGGACTGGCGCAATATCAATCCTCTTCTTTCGCAACAGGCTGGTGGTTGCAGGGGCTTGGCTTAGTTGGCATGTGCACCAAGATTGTGGGTCCGTATCCCACATAAGGATGTTTGTGTGTTGTGGCATGGTGGGGCAGATTGAACTACCACATAACCAATTCTGGCCATTTCCTTCCCAGTCCAGAAATTGGATGCTCTCCCACAAACTGGCTACTAACAGCCAAGATGGGCCTACAAAACACCTCTGCAGGACAACTTCTTTCTTGTGATTCATGGAAATGGTCTTAAGGGGCTGTCCATAAATTATGTGATGCAAATTAGAAGTATTTTGAATACCCTCTCTTCCCCTGTAATGCCTGTTTGAACCCCCTAAATAATTATGTAATGCTTGTAACACCACCTTCCCCCATTTACAGTGGGTAAAAATATATAACAGTAAAAACCATTTATAAAATTTTATTTGTGTTATGTATTAAAATTCGTAATGAAAGTGAGAATTAGTTGGGGATTCTGACCTCACATAATGGATTGGAGAAAATTATTGAGTGAGGAAAGATGCATAGGCGAGACAATTTCTGACAAAAAGCCAAACAACTGTCATCGTGGATGATGACGGTTGAGAGGCAAGAAAGTACTGTACCCATTTAATAGAATTCTAGAATTTATTACGGATCAATTTTGAATAATTTCTTCATAATTAACAGTTTCAATCAATATATCATTAATGTAAAAAGATTTCTATTTATTGTAACAAATACATCATAATTCCTTTAATTTAATTATCTTTTTTATTTAATTTGTTAATATCTTACTGTGTTCGTATATGGCAATAAAAGGTATTATTTCAGCAAATGTTGACAAAAAAAAATAACAACGTTTAGTAACACTAAGCTAACAATCCCCCACCCTTGTATAACGCAAGATAACAATGCCTCAAACCCCCCTCTCCATTTCTATAGCATTATGTAATTTTTAGATGGCCCTTAAGGGATGTTTCCGACAGCTGAGGAAGGGCAGAGTACTGTCCTGTCAAAAGGCATCGGAAACATGTAGAGACTAATTGAAAGGTGTGTGAGACCTAAGATACGTCAGATGAGTTGCCTAGAAGGCTGTAAAAGCCTAAAGGAGAGAATTTTTAGAAGCCTCCTCATACATCTCATCCAGTCAAAATAACTTTGATGACAATTTATTTGGTGTTGAATTGTACACTCCATTTTGAATTTCCTCTTTAGGAAGCATTTTAATTTTTTTCTCTGCAGTCACCTTGAACTTCTTTGATGCTTCCCTAATGTAGGTCTTTTTACATCAATTCCGGAAAAAGACACAGATTTTTTGTGTTAGAGTGAGAGAACATGGATACATGTGTGTGTATGTATGTGTATATTACATAATTAACTTAGATAAAAATGAACCAACTTTAGAAAAAATCAAAATGTTATCCACTTCAGTACCTTGCCAATGTTCTCACAAAAATTAAATGTATGCTCTGAAATAGCATATTTAAACAATGCAATAGGTAATAGAATAATTTGTGAAAGCATACTGATATTGTGAAGGGGAAATATAGAAAACCTAAACATTTCAATAACATACATTTTTAAAGGTTGGGGTGGTATTGTAATTGTTCAAAGAAAATTACTAAAAACTATG